ACGATATAAAATGGTAATCAAGACTTCTTTGCCCTAAGAATTTGTTGCTTTAAAAATTGTGTCCGAACAAGTGTACTTCTATTTTTTTTTTAGTTTCGCTAATTATGACATTTCTTCCACTGTATATAATAAGCAATGTTCAAATAATTTATAAACAAAAATTTTGTTTGTATTGTACAGTTTTTGAAAGATAAAATTTCATCCCATATCTCCAGAACGTGAAAGATATGTAAAAAATTACATATCTTTCCTGAAAAAGGCATTTAGTATAGAAATTATATATACGTGCATACATATACACTATATAAACAAACATCAGCTATATTATGTGCAAATCTCGGTTTCGTTTTCTCTTCTAGAAATCGCACGCTGATTTTAAAATACCTTTTGCTCGTACAATTATCACAATTTTGCAAGTTAGCATCTGTTGTCACAAAAATCTGGTCGTGAAGGAAAGTTATAACAGGATCGCTTAATTCGTTTAAAGACAAATTGATTCTCTCGTTATGATTCTGCATTTTTAATTATTCTTGTAAATTCGGCAGTCCTTGTATAAAACAATTCTAAGTATTCCAAAGGCTGAAAATTCAGTAGAAAATAGAACTCCTGAGATAAATATTTACATAATGTACGCGCGGTTGATGAGAGAGATCTAAACTCTTGGCATTCCTGTATTCTTGAATCATACATATGCTAAATCTCTTAATTTGTATCTTGAAATATAATTTTATTAATTTTTATTTAATTTTGTCTCATAATAATTAAAATTTGAAAAAAATATTTGGTAGTTAGTATTTAGATGTAATAATCAGTACTGTAAGTCTGCTCGATTATGTTATCCTCTATTTATCACCATGAAAGTTGTACTAAACACCAATATCTTAATTATCTATATTTTTCCTTTTACAACAAGCTAATCAACCATTACATATATCATTTCTAACTTCATAACCGCCTTTTGCTGGCTAAAAGAAATTATTCATCCTATGCTGTCACAGAGCCATCTATCTATTTGGTTCGCACTAATAAAAATAACAAATGGTAATCTGCTCGAAAGCAGGTCCGTGGTGTGAGTCACAACAAAAAAAATATTTACATTACTACTATACCCTCCCGCCTTTTTACAATTTTTTTCATGTATTTTCCTTTCCTAACTTTAACTTTTTGCTTCCATGATTCTCCTATTTTACCCTCGAGACACTTTTCTTTTTAGGATTGTGCTCAGTAGCGTCTACTACACAACTATTATATTTTTAGTTCTTACCAGCACACTAAAATACAATAACCTCCTAAGTTTGTGATGGATGACACTACTATAATTTTGAATTCAAATATTGTGTTTTGTATGCTTTATTATAACCCCGTAGGTCCCAAAGTGTTTCTAGAAATGAATATGAAATGAGCAAATGCAAAATTTCTTCTTTCAATTACCTTGCACAAAACTTTCACAAGTCATGTCGCAATTGCAAGAAATGCATTATGAGTCTCGTCTACGCCCTAGGTTCAATAATAATAAAAAGGTGCCATTATAATAGAAATAAATATAAATAGTCTGGAAATTATAATTTGAACTTGTTTGAAGTCCATAACTCTAACCACGAAACCACAATGACCAGAAAAAATATAAACTCGCACATTTTTCTTGGGTATTATACGAGGTCTGTTCAAAAAGTACCCGGAATTTTCGTTTTTTCAAAAAAATATTTATTTATTCATCTATATTAATGTGGTCCCCTTCAAAGTAGTCCCCCCCAGATATAATACACTTATGCCAGCGTTTTTTCCAATTTTCGAAGCACCCTTGATATTCACTTTTTGATATGTCCTTGAGCACTCTCAGCGATTTTCTTCAATCGAGGAAAACCGCCGTCCTTTCATGGGTCTCTTCAACTTTGGGAATAGGAAAAAGTCACACGGAGCCATATCTGGTGAATTTTTGCACTTTGCAACACTTTATTTCATTTTTTACGCAAAATTTAATACAAATTCTTTGACTTTTCAATTCTTCCATTGTAAAAATCGCCGAGCTCAGAAAAACACGTCGAACCTTAGCGACTACCACAGACAAAGTAAACAGTGAATATAGCTGAAAATTTCATCATACTTTAGGGGCATGTATACCAACACAATAAAAAAAAAATTTTGACAATCAGACACTCCAGACCCGCGAAATTTAATTATTAGTAATTCCGGGTACTTTTTGAACACACCTCGTACATGTAAATAAAAATACTGAAACAATTGCTCGACTAAACATTATGTAAAATAAATACATTAGTCATAAGTTAACATAAAATATGGAGACAATACATTTTTGTTTGTAATAACAAATGGTGTCAAAACAAAAACGTGTAGAGCTTGTTTTTTGAATTGAATCGTTATGAATCATTAAAGTTTTTAAGTGCGATTATTCAATTATTTGTAATCATAAATGAATATAATTTGCATATTTAAATTATGAGAAAATAATAAAATACAAGTAGAAGAAAAGCTCGTTTTGTAAATGTGTGTTTTAGACTTGATTCGAGCTGACATAGTTTTTTTTAATACAAGTTTAATTTTTTTTAATATCAATATAATTTGTGCATTATATTCCCTATTATGTAATATATTTATTTTATTTTTAATAGTAATATAGAAATATTTAGAAACAAGATTTATATAAAAACTATAAATGAACACTTTTTTATGGTTTCTCATTTTTCCACGTACAACGACAGTTAAAATTAGATCACGACGTGTCACAAAAATGTCAAAATTTATATATTTAGAAAAAGAATTTATATATAGATAGAAATGTAACATTTTTTAGAGTTGTTTCCAGTTGTAAAATTTTATTACTTGTTTTACGACGTATGTAGAGTCGCAGTGTCTACAAGTTATTATACCGAGTCTGAATTGAAAAAAAAAATTGAAGATTTTCTTTTATTAATTGCATGTTTTAATTTGGTTTAATTTTAAATTGGTTATTTTTTATATAATATGTATGTAGAGGTGGAAAAATAGTGAGCAAAAGCTATATATCATATTTTTTAATGTAAATTTGATGTTTATGCAAAAAATGTTCAAGATATAAAATAAAAGAAAAATATTTTAGAGAATATTTACTTTTCCAAACGTTTCACAAATGATGCACATTAACACGTTAATCGCCATGTCAGACATATGTGTCTGATGATAAGAGGTTATATATGAGCCATGTCAGACAAGTGTGTCTGACAAATCAATCTAAAAAATTCTTGGCTTGTCAAGAAAAAAGTTTTTAAAGATCTGGCAGTCAGTCATATATATGACATAAAAAATAGTATTTTTCCAGAAATTTTAGCAAAAAAAAAAAGTTTTTTTGATGCATTAAGGTTCCTTGATACATATTTTACTAAATGGTGAAGATACCAAGGCTCATGTGGATAGTTTTCTGATATTATCGTGGCGGTGAACGTGTTCATGACACCTAATGTGTTCATTAAATAACTATGAACTAAATAGTATGTTCGCGGAATTTTGTTTCAGGAAAGGATAAAAAAATAAAGATTTTTGAAAATATTTTTCTATTTTGTATTTTGGTCTTAACATTTTTATTTATATATTGCATCGAATGTCCGGCATTAGGTGCCGTCCGGCTTTACGGAACTTTCCCCTATATAAGTTTGCATAAAATTGTTCTGCCAGGTGATCAAGAAATTTCCTAAATTTTAAATTATCAAAAAAAAAAAAAATTGAAAGAAATTTAAATATTACTTTATTAACACGTTGACTGCGGGTGTCAACGTGCCTTGTTTCTGGTGCGGCTATCGACAGTGCCACATCCACTTTAAATTCATCCCCAAACTAGCTGTAAGTGGAATTCTGTCTTAAGGCAATTAAGGCATCGTGCCTTAAGGCAAATTGCTGGAACTTCCCGTACCAAAAATTATTATTTTTTTAAAAACGATTAACATTTTTGAAAAAAAATTACTTTGAAAGAATAAGATTTTTGAGAAACTATAAATTGGACAAAAAATAACTTTTCTTTGAAAAAAAAAATTTTTTTTTAAAAAAACATTTTTTTTTTTGAAAAAAATTTTTTTTTTCTGTATTTTGACATATTGTAGAAGATCTGAAATTTTTTTGAAAGCAATCGTACTGCTTTAACTGCATAGGGACAAAATATAAAGCGCGTAAGCGCCGCGTCGCTGTCTAACGCATAAGCATTGGTACGGAACCCATAGAAATGTTAACAAAATGTATACTTATTGTTAAAATCTCTATAAAATATCTGATAATTTGATGTGCATATGTCTAATGATCATTTTTGACCGCCAAATGGCTCATTTTTTTACTTTTTCCTCCATATCTCCGAAACCGCTAGACCTACCTTCATGAAAATTTTATCGATTCTTCACCTTGTCAATACAAGTGAAATGTTTTTTGAATTATTCAAATCGGACGCTCCGTTCTCTTAAAAACTGAGTTACCGTTTTCGGCACTTTTTGCCCCGTATCTTCGGAACGGCTAGACCTGCCTTCGCCAAAAACTAATCAGCACGTCTCCTTATCAATACGAATCGAATGTTTTTTGAATTATTCAAATCGGTTGATCCGTGTTCCCGAAATCGTCGACGAAAATTTGTATCCGCACATACATACACACACGCACATACATACATACATACATACATACATACATACATACATACATACACACACACACACACACACACACACACACACATACATCCATTTTTTCTAAGGTATGCCAAAATGTTCAGAAACCTTTGAAACGTAAAGATATATAAAAATTTTCATTTTCGATTTTTTTGCGATTACTATAACTTGCCCTACGGGAAGTTAATTATCAGCATAGTAGAAACTACCCATATCGCAGTTCATATCGCTGCGGTAGTAGACGCTCAGAACTTCGGTTAATTTTTTAGCCCATCTTTAGTCCATAGGATCCTTAAGTTCTAATTATTATTCCATAACGAAATATTAGTTTATTAATGAGACTAATATCTCTTTCAGGTATTTTGCACAGAGGGATGCACGAACGTAAACATCAGCAGGAGAGTCCGGATTCCGACTGTAACAGTAACCACAAACTTAGCCATGTACCATGCTTCACCACGGGCAGTACTTATGGGAGCATCACGTCTTCCCAGGACTTCACCCACGACAACTCGGATTACCAGTGGTTTTTGGACTACGGGTAAGGGGAAATAAATAATTTGTAGTAATTGAAACATATGTTGTTACCATCATACCTGGACGCGGAAACACTAAAGTATTGGCATTAGATTTAGATATTCTTGGTAGTACCAAAAAATTTGATGATGTTCCATAACAGAAAGAAAAGGCGCAAATACTATGATTTTTTAATGGTTTCTACCAATACCTCTACAACACCGATATGTTGCTCTATACGAGGAGAAATAATACGGTTTGCAACCAGACACAAAGAAAACAGATGTCTCATCCTAATCAATTAGCCCAAAGCTTTTTGTCTGTTAAGTTTCCTAAACAAAAGACTTAAAAAAAAAACACCCACCAGAACTCTACTACGTGTAGAAATTCAATTTCATATATATTTGTGATTTCTTCTGTAGAAAATTATTTTTACTCTCAGAAATTGTACTTTTTTGTTGAAAGTAGAAGTATATGGTGATAAATTCTACTCATGGTCATTAATTTATTACAATTTCTTTATTAACTTGATAGATTTGATAGATCATAAAGACAGTTGTAAAATATATGGTAAAATCAAAATTATATTTTTTTTTGTGTTTGAAGACATTTGTACAATTTTTTAAAATAATTGAAAATTATGAAAAGGCAAATTAGGTAGACTTATTACACAATAAACAATTGGATTACTTACTTTAATACTAAAAATAAAAAAAAAATTGAAGAGTACTACCTTTAAAGTACTACCTTTAAAGTATAAGTACAAACACATTAAATTCTAAATTATTTGAAAACTCTAAATAACACTTGAACACATGAGCTGGCCGTGGCTCCGTGGTGAAGGCTTTGGTCTTGCAACTACAGATATGTTGTTAAAGAAATGAAAATCTGTTATTACTACTGCTCGATATCAAGCTGTTCGAAATGGATGTAGAACCCGAAATCGGTCGCGTTATTGAAATAATGAAAATCTGTTATTACTACTGCTTGATATCAAGCGTTTCGAAATGGAAATAGAACCCGAAATCAGTCGCAACACTTTTTAGGACACTAAACGGTTGTAATTGTTCAAAAAATGTAGAATACATATATATGAAATTAGTATTATAATGAAACATATCTAACAATTTAATAATTTAATGCGCAATATTGAGTCATTTTCATAGTATGAGTCAAGTATATTCGGTATTACAATCAGATAAAATAGTATAAACATTATATCGCGTTTTCCATTAAATGTTTATAAAATACTCGATGTCTTACCTCATATTTCTAGTCGGTTAATTGCTATATATAATTGCAATAAATATCGGAATGTATTTGCACGTATAAGCGAGTTTATAAACAAATTATTAGCGAATAACAGAAATATGCGCAAAATGGATATTAATGTTGATTCACTATATGAAAACAATCGTTTTGATAAGTTGTTGTATATGATTGCAATAATAATTTATTTAGTTGGCACTCGTAGCCAACTTGTGTTGCTACAATTTATTAGAACTGAAATCATTAACAAAAGATTAGCGAACAACGTAACATGTGAAAATTCAATATAAATTAGTTGATATTTAAAGATTAATTCACGTTTTTGAGTAATACTTTTTACTAATTGACTTATAATGGCAGAAGAAGGAAACACACAAAGGTAATAAATTTGATTACTTTGGTTGTCATTTTTAAAAGGAATAAAAGACCAATATCTTTTATTAACTTCCCGTGGGGGGTAAGTTATAGTAATCGCAAAAAAATCGAAAATGAAAATTTTTATATATCTTTACGTTTCAAAGGTTTCTGAACATTTTGGAATACCTTAAAAAAATGAATGTATATGTGTGTGTGTGTGTGTGTGTGCGTGTGTGTGCGGATACAAATTTTCGTCGACGATTTCGCGAACAAAAAAGATTCGATTGCTACTGATAAGAAGACGCGCTGATTAGTTTTTGGCAAAGACAGGTTTAGCCGTTTTGGAGATACGGGGCAAAAAATGCCAAAAATGGTATTTCAGTTTTTGAGATAACAGAGCGTCCGATTTAAATAATTCAAAAAATATTTTACTTGTATTGACGAAATGAACTGGTGAAATTTTTGTAAAAACAGGGGTCCAGCGTCTCGGGAGATCCAATAAAAAAAAGTAAAAAATAATGCCATTTGGCGGTCAAAAATGAACATGAGACATATGTACATCGTATTATGAGATAATTTATAAAGATTATATTAATAAGTATAAATTTTGTGTGCATTTCTATGGGTTCCGTATCAATGTTTACACGTTAGACGAATACGCGGCGCTCACGCGCTTTGTTATTTCGACTCCAAATTAGCTATGCAGCGTTATTGCTTTAAAAAATGTCCATAATTTAAAAAAAAAATCGAATTTTTCAAAGGCCAAATATTTTCAAAAATTTCAAAATTTCTCAAAAATCTATTTTTTTCAAAGTTTTGCAAAGCTTTTTGTTAATAATTTAGTTTTCGGTACGGGAAGTTCCAGTAATTTGCCTTAAGGCACGATGCCATGCACTACTAGAGTATTGTCTATATTTTGAACACCAATTGGAACTAAAGGTTCTGTAAGCTTTTGTTATGGATACTCCTATTCAACGCCATTTTTAGAAGGCAACCCAATGATTACCTTCAGACAACAGGTTTAGTTTAGGGTTTATATTATAGATTGGGTTTGCTAAAAGTGATGATAAATTTTAAGTTTAAAAAGGGCTGTGATTACTTGGAAACTGTTATGATTTATATTTTGAAATGAAAATGAATATCACTAAAACTTGATATCAGGATTTGAACCCAGGTGGGTAAAATCCAGAGGCCGCCAGACAATTTTCTCACACATATTTTGATGTTAGACGTTGAAAACTGTAAATTTTATGTATGAATCAGCCACAAATAAGCTTGAAAGCATCTAGAATATTTATTGCGTCAGTAAGATACTCCATATAAAGAGCTGCCTCATGATTATAAACATTAGACCGACTATTTGACGGACAGACAACAGGCTGTATTTCGCGGTTCGACTTTTGAGGTCAAAATCTCGTGACTGTTCGAGCTTGGCGATATAATAATTCTATTGTTGTTTGCTTTTGCAGTCATGGGATATAGAAAATGATTTAGTTATTATATTCATTATTAATTTGTAGAAATTAAACTTTACAACATAATTAACAGGAAAGAAAACGTAGACCTCTGGCCGGGTACTTGATACTTAAACGATCCTCGAATTTCAAAAAGAATGCATAAAATTGCATTTTTTCATAAAACCTAATGTTTTTTTCAAATCATAAACTAAGTAGTTTTAAGTGTATTGTTATTTAAGTATGATGTAAGTATCTGAAATTTTACTCAATATTCAATTTTATAACAAAATTATCAAAAAAAAAAAAAAATTAAGACCTTTACCTAATCGAGTCTTCAATACTTGAGCAAACTTCTCTTAGTCAAAACTTTTATTTGATATCAAAGCTTCGTAATTTTGAATGCATGGTATAAACGTGTATTTTCAATTCCTAAACAAATATGAAGTTTCCAGCAATTGTTGCAAAAATTAATAAATAGTTACACACCTGTCTATTTTCAAAAAAATACACAAATATCCCTGTCTTATTGGGGGCTTAATTATTACTTGAGAAAAGCTAGATTAAAAAAAAGGACTGCCTGAAACAGATTTTTTTGTGAAACTTATGTTGATCTTAAAATCAGTGCTAAGTAATTAAATTAAATTCCTATCGCAAATGTGTTTAACATTAACATGATGTTAAAAAACATATCTGAAAAAAGTAGTTAGATCTTAGGTCATACAACCACATGGTTTTAAGTTCAATCGTTATCTCGGACAGCCTAATATCAAGCAGTAGTGATATCCTTTTTCACTTCAAAATATAAATCTAACTATCTAAAGTTGATTGTTGCAACGAATTAAAAATATAACTTTTATAAATAAAATCTTTATTTAAAAACAACAATCAGGTTGTCTTCCATAATACCATTTGTAAATATAACCTAATCACAAGTTACAATTGTCAGCAAAAAATAATAAATGTTATTTAAGGTCACACATGTATCTACTTTGTTGCATCAGCACATTCTTTAAGTAGATGAAAATACCTGTTTTGTAAATGGAAAACGATGCACATGGATTAGAAAATTAATTATTTACACTTAGAGAGTGCAGATGTAATTGGTTTGGAATTTTCTAAACTTGAAAAATATTGAATTACAATACAGCACAAGGTTTTAGATTCTATTCCCACTTCGGATAGACTAATATCAAGCAGTAGTGATATCAGCTCATATATTTTTTTTTAAATTAACCCTACTTCACTTAGTCTTCCATGTTATTTTTATATTTTATTACATGGCGTTTTTCATATTTATTGAAATTCTATCAATGATTTTTGAACATACATTATTTTTAGCTTCATATCACAGTCGATTTAGTTTTTCGCGAGGGCTATAATAATTTAGTATCAATATAAAAACTTTTATTCAATAAAGAAATTTAACAAAATGTAACCTACAAGGACAACCTCAAGTTTAATCTCCTGTAATTTTGATGAAACTTGGCATAGTGATAGAGTTGCTTGTCAAAACAAACCCCTTATATATTATAGGCCTATGAGACATTTATTTGTAGTTATTCAGTTAGTATTATTTACATTGTTTTTCATCTATTCCATTTTGCAATGGGAACAAAAATAAAGTATCATTCTCAATTACTTTTGACATCAACTTTATGGTGACAAGAGTACAGTGTATAAAATTAGATTAAATGATTCTAACGCGGCCTTCGGACGTTATTGCGCACAATGCATGTTTATGGGATCTTACAATTAGAACAAATACAAGTACAAGCAAAAGTTGTCACTGAATTGTAAGGGAAAAAATCATAATAATTTAATAATAATATTTTAGTTAAAAGGCAGGTCTAGTAATAGTTAGTTTTTTCTCATAAACGATCAAAGATTTTTTGGCACAGCAATCTGAACTAAAAAGCCCTATAGAATGTTGTGATGATACTCCTTCATTATGTGCACTTGTTTAGAAGACAGTTATCGGAATTCCAGGAATGTCGCAAAGGGCTAATTTCTCTCGGAAACTTATTTCCATCTATATTTTTAAGTTAAAAAGGAGATCACATCTAGTTCTACGAAACACCCAAGTTCGAATTTTTTTTGTCAATCAAAATTTAAGACAAGTTCGAATAATGACTTTAGATTTGATTATCTATTCAGCAACAGTATTTTGGAATTATTGAAAGTGTAGTAGACTTATTCTATGACAATTCATGAAATAATTTTCAAAAATATCAGAATTTCATAGGAGAATTGGAAAGCCCATTCTCAATAAAAAAAATAATAATGTTTAGTAATATAAATATCTCGCCTGAATTAAATATTCAAAGATATTGATGAATGACAAGAATGTTCTACTTAATTGTATAAAAAATGGTTGCACGGTTTTGCAAAATTTAATTTTTATATATAATGGGCATGGATATATATATATATATATATATATATATATATATATATAATTTATATTTACATTTGTGTATGTATTATATATTCAAGATGAAGGTTACGCTTTCCATTACTAATTTGTATAAATTAGACACGCATCATGCACATAGTTTCAAAAATATATTGAACTTATTTTGACATTGAGTACTTATCTGAAAATCATTGCAAAGACTCTATAATGACGAATTTATTACTGATTGCATGAATAGTAAAAACAAAAAAATTAAAATGTAGTTTAAATATAAATTTGTTTTGTACTCGTTTTATTTTATTTAGATCTATGAACATCAATAAATATATATTGTAATGCAGAAGTTTAAAAAACCAAAAAAAAAAAAAAAAACACACCACCTAAATTTAGTTTTACACTTTTATTTGAAAATCGCTTATATAAAGTGTTAGTTTATTTTCTTTGAAAATAAATGTTTTGGTTTTTTTCTACGTTAATTTTTAATTTGTTGTTCATCTATCATAGTTGGATAATTTTTTTTGAATCGTTAATTTTGTCTTCAAGCATTTTAAGATTTATGCCTACATATAGTATCACAGTATCATATGTGTATACTTCATAAATAATTAGGATTAAATTTTTTTTGCTAATTATGGTATAACGTGGTTGAATAATCAGTCTAATCCATTATTTTTTTCCCCAGGTACCGAGAACCAGGAAATCACCAGCATCCAGTGAGTGTACTGTCGTCTCTAGCGAATTCGTATACTGGCATCGATAGTTTGGGATACTACGATGTCATCTCCAAAAATTTGGACGCCAATTTGGCCGAAGCTGATATGGAGAGCTTTCGCACAGAGGACATACACTCACTGCTCACTCACATGCCCACCATGTGCTCGGATATGCAAATGCAACAGGAGGTAATAAAAACAATTTGAGTAATATTAAGGAGTAGTAGATCATTTATTTTTTATAATAAAAAATATTGTCGTATAATTTATTGTGTTCAATTGGAAAAGTAGAGCTAGTCTGTAGGTAAGCGGTTAAAAGCAGCGGGACTTGATTCAGAGGTCCCGGGTTTGATACCTACTTTGAACAACTTGTTGTCAGGCAGTAGTGACATCGGTTTTTACTTGGAAATTACGTTTATAATGACAAAAAGTTGCCAAAGATTATCATAATTCTGAAAGCTTCTCTTATTTTAATAGAATTACCAGATGCTACAGTTTCACAATTTCTTCTGATCTTTCAATTTTACCATTCAAATATTTATCTATTTTTGCAAAATCTTATTAAGCTAGAAGAAACAGAAAATCACAGTTTTGGCAAATGTCTTAAAATCTTATTCTTGAATTCATTTATTACTTTTGAAGTATTTTGAGTGGGCACATTTACGTATGCACATACTCTGTTCATTGCCAAAATATTTAGCAAAGTCAAAACAACGAACTTGATTGCAAAATTTAGAAAGTAAAGAAACATGATATTGTAAACATGGGCTTTTTTTTTTTAAATTTATTTATTATAATGGCATCTGATTTGAATCATATTGCCACCACTTAGTTTACATAGAGATTTATATACAAACAATTTTGAATACTAATAAACATACATAAACTTTGAATATACAATACAATATAATGTTGAATTTATAAATTAAATTTCTAAGCTATTCTCCATAAGAAAATCATTAATAATACTATGTATACTTTCAGAACTAATTATAAGTAATTGATGAATGCTGGTCGGAAATTCGATTTTCTCTTTTTGCAGCTTCTTGTAAAATTTATCCCTTGTAAACTGGTATCGAGGACATTCAAAAAAGATGTGATTAAGTGATTCTTCCTCATACCCACATGTACATGCCGGGGAATTGATAATATTAATTTTATTTAGGTGCTGTCCAAACCTCCCGTGACCTAGTCGGATCCTACATATATTTATAATGTATTTTCTATTTTGTTTTATATTTTTAAACCAAGATTTTGTTGATATTTTCGGTTTTATTGATCCATACTTGTATCCTTTTTTCTCTAGCGACTTTGTATAATTGAGTTGCCATTGATGTAGGGCGATTTGCTTAAGTTTCTGTCAAAACATGGGCTTATAATGTAAATAAATATCTTAATCGTAAGAACATAATTTGGGAAAATAATGTATATTTGAGAGTATGAAAAAATAGCTCAATTTTTTTTTAACTGCGATCAGAAATAAGAGCTCTATATGCTTGAATGAAGATTCTTCTCAAAATTCCTTTTTTAAAAGGCAACTCGTGCAATGATATCCATTTTTACTTGAAAATTTGGATCAGAAATATGTTTTCAAATTAAAATATCACATTCTCAGCATTGCAGCATTAAATTAGAAATAAAGCAGCAATATTAATGAAATTTTAATAATAAAAATATATCAAATAAAGACAACAAGATTGCCCTATCTATATGTAATTAATTATCACAATTTCTGCCTTAGTGATGAATTTTTTAATGGTGCAGCAATGCCGAGTAAGAGCTATTTTCACTTGGAAACATATTGCTATCTGTATTTCCAAGTAAAACCGAAGTCATACTGCTTGACATCGAGCTGTCCGATATAGGTATCGAACCTGAATTTTCTGATTTTATTCCCATAGCTCAGCGGTCGAGGAACTTTTTTAACCTAATTTAATTACCCTAATTTTTTTGTCTAAGTTGATATTGCCCCCAAAAATGCAATTTTTACCCCATTTGGGGAAATTTACCCGGTTCCACAACTACTGCCAAAGCTGATCCTTAGTAAAAACCAATATTATTTATTTCCTATAATTTGTAACGTTCAGAATATAAAATTGTTTTTTACTATAATTTTTATCGTTAACTGATTTTATTTAAATGTGTTCAATCAGAAATGAAAACAAATAGTCTGATGTGAACTTTTACAAACACTTCTCGTTTTCTTTCTTATCAGAATCATCACAAATGCTATCACGCACTGACACGAAAACAATGTGATCTCATTCGATGTTGAAAAATTTATGTTGACTAGCAAACATGTAAAATGCTTTTTGAATACTAAGTATAGAAAATAATTTAAGAATAGATAGTTTTTGCCAACTTAAATTCACCTATTTGTTTGAATGGTACATTTATTTACTATTATAGAATCATTTTGATCAATTATATTTTTGATGCACATGATAATTCATCTGGCGAAAGTTAAATCTTTCGAGCATATAAAAAAGTGATAAGATGTCTCTTCACAAATAGAGTACAAAATAGTTATATAAAAGTATATTAAAATTGATAGCAATCGGTTTTCTTTATACCTGGACATCCATCACTGGATTGGAGACCTTCCAAGTATGACCAAAAATTTGCTGATGTGCCATATGGAATAAGTAAAATTATAAAAAAAACTTATTCTTACATATTCATGAAATAATATTTCTTTGGGTAGTATTTTGTTGTAAATTATGCATTATTCAATATATGTATTATTCAATGTATGTATTTTTTATTTCGTAAGTCGCTACAAAATACGTTACGGCACAAATCAAATTCTTCAGACTTCCAATAATGCGGTTAATATAAATTTTATTCAAAAAAAAGTAGATTAAATTTATGGCCAAAGATTTCCGGTTAATTTTACCGGAATAAATAATTTCCAGATTTCACCATGAACAAAATCCATCGCGCAGCACCTCAATACACTCAATATGGTGAAATGAAAGATTTTAAAGGTCCACGGGTAAAAAGGATCACAGATCTCGAAAACAAGCAATTTTACATGATATAAAATTATGTTAACACTTTCCACTCGCGAATTCCGAGATTTATATGAATTTTGCCGTCGGAGCGGTGGCATCCGAGTTGGAAGGGTTAATTTACTTATTCGGAATCTACTAACAAATATTTTTCCGAAATACTAGAGCAAAGTTATAAACAAAAAGGTCTTTATAAGAATGCTCCCATAAAATTTGTACTTTGTAAGATACTCTTAAAATTAAGAAAAAAACGACGTTAGATCTGTTTTCCACCTGACTGTTTTCTTACCTCGCCTATGAAGCAAAAACAGACTAATGAGGAATTTTTTTTTTCTATAATTAGGAGTTAACAGGTAATTTTACCGAACATAGTTCGATGATTGTTATTTGATATACATGTATGTTATGTGTAGTCATGTAGTATAATTACTGAAAGTAAAATTGGACCTTTGTGCCCCGCCCATATAATAATAACGTAAAATTAAAAACAGTTATGTATATTTATGTTATGAATTTACCTTGCCATGGATAATTATTTTTTATTTCGATTAATTTAAAAAATTTGATTATTCTAGCCGGAGAGAAGAGGAGAAATGTTTGCCAGTATTACCGGATCAACCCTGGATAAAATAGACCTGGATGTTTCTATAGGCGCCAGAAGTAATTCACAGGTAATGATTTTTTTATCCATAAAAAACGAATAAAATTTTGCAATCACTATCGGTAACACTTTCTCTTGGGTAACATTTTGTAAGACAAAAAACATTCACAGTACTCTGGTTATGTACATTGAATCATTGAATAGCACATTGTTCTATTATGAAATAGTTTATTTTAATTTATTGATAAAAATAATTGAAACTGTAGAGTGAAGTAAAAGTATATTTAAACTGTAAAATGATAATTTTATTAGTTAATAAAAATTGTTTTTTGGTATGCCGTAAAATAAATTTAAATTTCTAACTATAGTTAAACTAATTATTGATTTTTATAATCATTCGACCTACTATATTTATAAAAATTATTACTAATGAATTCTAAAATTTATATATTTTTTGAATATCAGCGAAGACTAATTTACAGGAACCTAAGTTATATAACGAAATCAATGCATCATTATATGCATTTAGGATTTATAAATTTTAATTTACATAATTGAGTTGCTTATAAAAAGTCTATTAAAAATTTCCAAATCGTTCGATGACATATGAATAACATTCTGAAACATAACACATTTAAAAGACTTTGATTAATAATAAAATTATGCAAATGTGCGTTCCATATCACGCTTAATTAATTATAAAAAAAAATTGATAAATGAAGAATTCTGAGTTATTTTTTTAAACATAAGTTATTTTTTAATTTAAGATGTGTGACGAGAAAGTGGCAATGATTAATATGCGAATATTGAAGATAAACTTTTTTGCTGCGATTTACATATTTTCAAGTCATATGCAAATATTACTGCGACATAATTAAATTATGCTAATGTGAACTTGGAAGAAAAAATAACACTGTTTAGGAAATGGAACTCGATAGATCGTGTTTTTTCTGCATATACATTATATATATATATACATATATATATATATATATATATATATATATATATCAATTAAAATTATGTCATCGCTTTTTTTCTTGAACGTATGATGTCAATCTAGATGCCCACGATGTTTCATTTTTATGGATCACATTTATTTTAACTTTAATGTTCTACTAACTATGTACTGACGACAAATAATTTATTGATTCCAAACATATAGATTAAAAAATTCGTCATTTTTGCCTTTGAAGAAAAACACGTTATACGCCATGTCAGTTATATGTGACTGACGCTAAGAAGTTTTACCTTAGCCGGTAGAAGGCCACGTCAATCAAAAAAAGTTCGAATAGTGTTTCCAAGAATTTTGGCGAAAAAATTCATTGATACATAAGTTTCCTTGATCATTTTTAACTGAATTATCTAATAAAGTTTCCACCATGGCGCTCGTGAAAATTTTTCTGATATTATTATATATATTATGGTCTTTGAAGTGTTACCTTTTCAAAAATTTACAATATTTACTAATTTACAATACTTTCATACAATTTGCATCATAATTTATTTTACAATATAGAGAATTTCCAATGTTTTCAAAAATTACAACATTTTCTGATGATCTACATATTTTTTAAAATAATTTACGGAATTTTCAGACAACCTCCAACTTTGGTAGACAATTTACAACATTTTCTGACAATATGCAAAAGATAATTTACATCATTTAAGATAATTTACAAACATTTTTAGGACAATCTTTCTACATTTTCAGTCGTTTAGAATATTCCAACGGTTTACCACATTCACTGGCAATGTAGGAGATTTTTATACAATTTAGAATATTATCGTCCAACATTTTCAAGAACATATGTAAGTTTTAATAAAAAAAACTAGTTGTAAGTAGCATTTTGCCTTAATACAAGTTGCATAAACTTCCGATACGTATGCATAATAAACTTAACAAGAATTAAGATTCTATTCATTCAACTTTTTAAGTTGAATAAAATTTTCACTTTTACTTAAAATTTTATCAATGCGATTTTCAAATGATGTTTTTTTAAACATACTAATAATATATATCTGTAATTGTATAAAATAAATTAAATTGTTTAACACATTCCAATTCATCCATTTTACGTTTAAAAAAGTATTTTATTTGAGTGTGGACATCAACTGTAATCAGTAGTACCTACGAAACGCCAAGGAGTACTAACACAGATGCTTCGGCAAAAATCTAAACTTAGAATTTTTTATAATTCAACCGCTTATCGTAGGCCTATAATATTGTAGTATGCTATTTCATACTACATAATCTATCGTTATACAAAGTTTCATTGAAGTCGTAAAAAAAATTGTTTAACATTTACGAAGAATCGGTTCACATACATACACACATACTTTTTCCAAATTTGGTCTAATTCGATTCAGAATGATTCGGAACGTCGAGGGAACATAATTAGCAAAAATCGGTTCACGTACACATACACACAAACATGCTTTTTCCAAGTTTGGTCTAATTCTATTCAGAATGACTTTGAATGTCGAGGAAACATAATTAGCAAAAATCGGTTCACATACACATACACACAAACATACTTGTTTCAAATTTGGTCTAACTCGATTCAGAATGACTTCGAACGTCGAGAAAACATAATTAGCAAAACGGATTTTTTCGCAAGAATAAACTTCAAGTTGAAAAAAATAGAAGAAAACTGATGTTTTAAAATGCAGGCCATAATGAATTATCTTGCGATTGTTCATAGTGTCCTCATACCCAATTTTTATTTTTATACAAAAAAAAATTAAAATATTTTTTTTGTTGGCAAACATGTACATCTTATCACTAATCTTACGTTACTCGTCCAACATTTAATCTTCAATTCATTATAATTCAATTATTATCGGCTTATGCAAATGAATGTGTGACACTTTCAGTGCGATGATCTTTCGGCATCGGTACGAGATAACATGTCCATCACCAAGTCGGAGCTTCTGTTCTCGCCCGTCAAAGAGACGCCGATACTGGACGTCAACTTCAGCGTGGATTCCCTGGACATGCTTTCCGAGCAGGATCTGATATTGACTTGTCAGGCCAATAAGAATAACTACACCATCGCATTTGAAGGCAGCATGACCATGTATTCGGAGGAGAGCGAATATTCCGAATTGGGTAAGTGGAAATATTGGAAAATTTTTATTTGTTATGCATAAAAAAGTCAGCCCTATTAGATTAATTCTAATAACAAAAATCATCAAATATGGATGGATTAAGTAACCATTGGGTTACCACCTAAAAATTCGAAGTAAGGTGAAGTTTCAGCCCAACAGCTCATAGGACGTAAAATTCTGATTGCTGTTAAAAATATAATTAAAATAAAAAAAATGTTACGCAATTTTTTGGTTCGCCAAAAAGAACCTAAACGGTTTTTGTGTTTAGATTTTTGATTCAGTAACTCATTGTGTATTGATGCTTGAACATTATGTGCGACAATTATAATGGATTATTGTAACTTCTTTCCTTGCTAAAGTTCATTTATATGGCTTATTTGGCAATCGTTCCGGCATATTTAAATAGTATTTTTTTAGGTTATGTCAGTAGTTTTAATTTGCAACTGCCAAGGCCTTGTTGCTTAAATGGTACCTGCACAATTTTTTTTTACTCGTACCAATTTAATAAGAAGAGAAATAATGGTTCAATACAATACAAATAATGCTTCAATATAATATTCAACAATTTTTGTTCAAAAGATAAATCACCAAATGGATGTAATCTATAATGGCTTCATCTTCATGAACAATTCCATTGCCAATTTTTTAAAACCCAAAATTAATAATTTTATAAGCATATTCGTAGCTTTTTGGGATTATTTAATTTTGAGTATTATTTTCATAATCATAATCTTCATAATCATAATCATAAATTCATAATCATAAATTTCATAATCATAAATTTCATAATCATACTCTTCTTTTATCTATGTTCATAATTTTGTTCATCTTGGAGAAAACTGATCACAGACTTATGTAGTAGTTTAGTATGACTAAGAGTATAGGTGGTACGACTATACGCCTAATTGTACGCAAAGAACATTTTTGAAAAAAAACTAATAAGTATTAATAACTAACTTAAAAATCCAGTGAGAAATACATCTGCAAAATTAAATCAATCAAGTAGTACAAAAGATAAAACTCAACTCATGATTTTCATCTATTGATGCCAATAAATCATTATTTAGATTTCATTAAAATGTATTTCTCCATCTTTTTTAATCGTGCTAATGATTTCATGTCACTGTGTATAGATTATTATCTGCTTTCACAATATTGACTACCATTCAAATTATCATTCTTATTCAAATATTTACTCTTACTCTTCGAGCAAACGATAAATTGTCGGATGTAATGATAACTCGCCAAAAAATGTGTTTCAATAATTTTCTGAAGTTCATGTTTTACCATATATAAGAATAACAATATCTTTCCTATTTCAGAAAAAGAAAATTCGGTGAAGAAACAGAACGTAAGCAAGACAACAAATTCTGTATGCTCCTCAATGGGTTCGGAATTGGGCTACACCACCTGGAGTCAACTGAAAAAGCGATCCAGTGAGATGCTGCTTTTGAGGTAATTTTCTTTATAAAAATATTATTTTTTATTAAAATGCTGTAATAAAATATTATATTTCTAGACATCACAATATGTCTTGTGACGATACGTCATTGGGAAATAATCATAGCATGATAAATGTACATAAAAGTCGGAGTATGCCAAATTTAACTGAGGGCGGTTGCAGTTCCATTGTGAGGAAGCGTTCGCGAAGAAATATAGCCAAGGCTAGGAACCTATTTGTAAGAATAATAGTTTTGAATGAAAATTATTATTTTCAAATGGTTTTGTTATAAATTTAAAATTTTTCAGTTAAATTCGAAATTGCCACTACACACTCGCGATTCAAAATTATTCAACGCTTCTGGATCACTTTCTTCCGACATGGGCGGTTCGAATAACACAACGGGAGGTGGACAAAATGTCTTGAACAAACCGAATCATTATTTTAACCTGGTTCAACTGTTTATGAAACAAAGGAGTATCAGCAACGAACGCATGAGCATCTGCATGGACCAATCTTCAGAATGTTGGGGAGCGAGCAATTCAGAAGGCGACAGCGGCGAATCCTATGCCAATGAGAATGCTTACAGGCAGAATTCACCAGATGTTAAAATTTTGAATACTAACAATAGATTGATCTCGATCCAAAACAATACCAACAATGTAGGGGATACAGAACTGAAAACTTTGAGCAAGAATACGGCGGTGAAATCAATTTTCAACGAGAATAATCTAACTCAAACCAATTGTAAAGAATCCAAACACTTGTTTAATGTGAATAATAACAATAGTTTCGAGCACATAGTTTGTAATAATCATAAAAACCGTTTTGGGAGATTGTACAATGCGAGTGGCAGTGTTTCCTCCAACGGCAGTGTTAGTGTGTTGAGCTGCAGCTCATCAGAAGGTACGCAGAATACCAAAATTCCGCAAATCAACTGTTTGTCGAAAATTACGAATAGGACCCATTGTCAAGCGGCGGCGGCCATAGATTGTAGTGTACAAACTTCTTTTCTAGCGAATTCGTTACGTAGACATTGTGATAAATCTAGTCAAATAAGTGATTTTATGAAAGTGATTGAGCCATCGTTCTTGTCTAAACTCAAAAACAACGACAAGCAGATACCGATATACGTAATTTATCCCAGCTACACGTTGCCCAACTTGAACTTCCTGCATACGAACAGTGATTGTAGCAAAATGCTGCTATACCCATTGAAATACAAAAAGTTCAGTCAGGCTGACAAAAATGTAAGTTTTGCACACCGTCGGCCACTATCCTGCAATGATGTTGAGGCTCTTCGTAAAACAGGCTTTGGACATATAAGGGATTGGGATTCCCTAACCATGCTCTTGCCTTGTGAATACCGGAAAATTTTAGTTGACATCCCGGAATTATCAGAACACATGAAGGACAAGAAAGAAGATTTCCTAAAGGCTGAAGAAAAACCGTTGTTTTGTGTATCACCCCCTGCAAGGCACAAACAGAGGCCTTTGAGCTGCGATGGAAATGTTTTAACGGGAAATCACATTACAAATGTATCTTCTAGTTCTAGTACTGCTACTCAACCTTCATCTGGATACAGAGGATCATCCACTATCTTAACAGATTCATCTTCACAAAATAGTCCTTCCTGTAATACTAATGTCAACCCATCATTTGCTTATCACTATGATAATTCTAGCACCGAAGCAATGCACGAGCATCACAGACATATATCAGGGATACATGAAAACATGCCTGATATATCAGAAGCTTCTCCTCCCAGGCCACCTTTACCAAGGGGTCTAAACCGCACTTCTAGTAATACCAAATACCCATCAATAATTCAAAAAAGATTTAGTGCTTGTGACGTTATACCGGACAATATAGAATGCAGCAATATGGATAAGGCGTCCAAAAGAATTTCATTGGATGATCCATACCAGCTGCTCAAACAGTATCAAGAAAATACCAAAGAATCGAAATGCAATAACTCAATTATCACAAATGCGAGGAGACAGAAAAAGTATGCTGAAAGTCTCAATTATCTGCAATACCTCGCAATGAACAATAAAAATGAGTGCTACAAAGATGATTCAGTGGAACTGAAAACTAATAATGCTGAAAACGATCTGAATAATTTAACCAAGAAAACGTTTGCTCATTTGAAATCGAATGATTTGACTGTAAATCAAATTAAAGGCAGTCATCTTGAAACGCCTCCCAATTCACCAAATGTTTCTGCAATTGTTAATCGCTTATCTTATGTAAGTATTGAAATTATATTTGAAAAAAAATATAAAATTATATTGAATATAATTCAATTATAATGTTGATTTTAATTTCAGGCTAAGAATGGACGTGTCGTAAGTGGTAATAAGGACACAAATGCACCAGCCGATAATCAATCAGAAAAACCGTTATCAGGAATCAACAAAAAGCTTGGTAAGAAATGATGAATAAATCTATAAATGCATTTGTAAAAAAATATATCTGAATTTATTCCATTATCATTTTCCAGTGCTAGTGTCGACTGTGACAAATGCAGTGGAAAAAATAATACAACACTTTTCAACTGCTACAAATGAAACCGAGTTAAAAGTTTTGGGTGATTCATCTCTTACACCGGCTTGCAGAAATTTAATTCTCCTGACATTTTGTCCAGCTTTGTTTGCATTGTTTTCTGACGGACTGAAACCTAATATTGAAACTTCTTTTGGAAATGTGAGCAATACTGTTTGGCATGTTGTGGAGGCATCAGCACAATTAGGTAATTAGAACTTAGGAATAAGAAATAGTTCTACCTAATTACAGAGAATATCAAGACATATTATTTAATTCTAGGTCCAGTAACACAATCTTTGAGTGAGCTTGTTATGGCAATAAACGTTAGTGGCATCACAGACATTCTGGATAAATTTAATGCATTTGTTTTTGGATTATTAAAGTGAGTTATTAAACTACAAATTTAAAAACATTGAAATTTAAAAGAAATATGGTTTATAATCAATTTATTATATCTTTAGTGTGCACTCCCTGGATGGATGGGTAGCCTACATCAAGACTCGCGAATCTGTGTTAAAGAAGCATTATTCAGAACATTCTTTCATGTTATTAGACTCCGCTGGTGGAAATTCTCATCGATCATTATTTGACACCTTATTGGCATCATTAGAACCATTATCTATCCTACCATTCAACCTACAAGCTTTGGTCCATAATACAAATAGAATGAAAACAGCTGACAAGAAATTATTAGAAGACTTAGAGAATGAAACGAGGCGCGTTCCAGAAAGACTATCCTTACAGAGGCCCATGAGTACCATCGATACAAGTTTTATAATGGAACATGAGGATAACTCAAGGAAACGTTGGTCTGATGTTCCACCAAGCTATTTTAAGCATAATGCATACGATCATTTGATAAGCGATGTTGAATATTGTGATAGCTTGGAGAATGATAACACAGTTAAAGAAAATGTGAGTAGAATCGGTCTCAGGTTCATCATATAAAAATATCTTTTATCATATTTTATTTCAAAGAATCAGTGTCATCTTGTTTAATTTTTATTACCAAAATATTGGAAAAACATTCAAAATTACATAGTTTTTTGTCACACTTTCTAGACGTCGGAAGAAAATGATAATAAAGGTGTGAAATTCCGTACCTTACAGCAGAAATGGGAAGCAATGGCAGGGCACGAGCAAGTTAATACTCAACCCCCTGCAGTGCACACGAAATCTAAGATCCCCAGGCCAGTGACTTCACCGATTAAACCAGAATCCAATGCTATTTCACCTTCTATTCAGAAGCCCAAGAGGTAAAGGACTTATTATGAATTATTTTGTAATGCAAGGAATTTGTAATTGAAGAACAAATATTTTGGTATTATATAAGTTGAATAAATCTGGCTTGTTTTAATGCAATAGCAAATTATTTTGAAAAGCAATTAAACTTAAAGAGGCCTATGAGCTGTCGAGATAATACTTCTTAAATATGTAATTTCTATAGCTTTAGCTAACCTCTATTTGAGAGAAGTTTTTATTAGAATTTCTGTAAAACTAATTTAATGCACCAATGTCTGGGAAAGGCTATTGTTACTTGAGAGCATATTTCCATCTATATTTTCAAAAGGAGAAGGGCTATTTTCACTTGGAAGCATATTTCCAAAGGGGAAAGGTCTATTTTGACTTGGAAACATATTTCCATCTTCATTTTTAAAAGCTAAAGGATTGTTTTCACTTGAAAACATATTTACATCTATATTTTCAAAGGGGGAAGGGCTATTTTCACTTGGAAGCATATTTCCATCTATATTTTCAAAGGGAGAAGGGCTATTTTCACTTGGAAGCATATTTTCATCTATATTTTCAAACGAGTAGGGCTATTTTTCCTTGGAAGCATATTTCAATCTATATTTTCAAATGGTAAAGTGCTATTTTTACTTGTAAGCATATTTACATCTATATTTTCATGGGGAAAAGGGCTATTTTTACTTGGAAACATATCTACATCTACATTTTCATGTGGAGAATGGCTATTTTGACTTGGAAGCATACTTCCATCTATATTTTCAAGGGTAGAAGAGCTATTTTCACTTGGAAGCATATTTCCATTTATATTTTTAAGGAAATAAGGCCTATTTTCACTTGAAAGCACATTTCCATCTATATTTTCAATGGGAGAAGAATTATTTTCACTTGAAAGCATATTTTCACCTATATTTTTGAGGGGAGAAAGGCTTTTTTCATTTGGAAGTATACTACCAACCATATTTTCAAGGGGAGAAGGGCTATTTTCATCTACATTTTCAATTGATATTTTACTACAACTAAATGTTGATTTCCTAACCAGGTCGATACCAGTTCCCATCAGAAAGAGTCCAAGCGGAACAACTAACGGAATTGCTTCAAAGAAACCGGGAAGCGTGGTAGCCAAACCAGTTGTTACGACTAGACCAAATACAGCAAACAGCAGGTGAGATATAAAATCAATATAAAGGAATTTTTGAGTATTATTTTGTTTTTTTTTTATCTAAGTGGAATGTCATTGTTTAAGAAATGACTGCTGAATTTTTTTTTTTTTGTTATGGTGATAACAGTGATTTATCTAGATTTATCTTTGCATTATCTAAATTATGAATTTTATTTATGGTGTAAAATGTAAAAATTTGATCTACTAAATAAAATATTGAGTCTTATATAGAAACAAAACTGAGTAAAACAATAATTTTGGGCTTTTTTTAAAGATGGCAATTGTATTGACATTGTTTTAAAAATGGCCGCTGTATAATTCAAAATATTATTGTTATGGTGATAAAAATGATTAAATTAAAGAAATTTGATAAAATAAGTAATCTGAACTCAAATTAAACAAAACTAGACAAAACTAGCTGTAAGTGGAATTCTGTCTTGAGGCTATTATGGCATCGTGCCTTAAGGCAAATTGCTGGAACTTCCCGTTGAATACTGAATGTTTTCAAATAAATTATTATAAATATTGTATCATTGTCTAATATAAAATAATAAAATAAAATCTGAAATATGTTCGATATTAAAAAAACTAAAAAAAAAAAAAAAAAATTGGAACAAATTTTTTTTTCCAAAATCAATTATTTTGTTAAGACAAGCAGAAAGTTCTTTGAATCATTTAAATCGGACGCTTAGTTCTCTCAAAAACTGCTATTTTTTACATATTTAGCTCCGTATCTTCAAAATAACTGGGCCTGCCTTTGCCAAAAACTAATAAACACTTCTCCCAATCATTACTAATTGAATGTTTTTTAGATCATTCAAATCGGATACTCCGTTCTCTCAAAAATTCGATTTCTATTTTCTGCACTCTTTGCTCCGTATCTTCGAAACGGCTGGACCTGCCTTTGCCAAAAACTAATCAGCTCTTTTCCCTATCAATAGGAATCGAATGTTTTTTGAACCATTCAAATCGGTTGATCCGTGCGCCCTAAAACGTGACTGGAAATTTGTATCCACACATACATACACACACACACACACATCCATTTTTTCTGAGGTATGCCAAAACGTTCAGAAACCTTCAAAACGTCGAGCAATGTAAAAATTTTTAATTCCGATTTTCGGCCCATTACAATAACTTACCCTACGGGAAGTTAATAAAATAATATTTGAGTAGTGCAGAAACTCTTTTTGGTATGCCATAATTATTCCATTATCAATTGATTTCTTTTCATAAATATAAATCGTTATAACACAAATAAATGTTAGGAAACACTACATTCTGCATCTTGCCAGTTAAAATAGTTTTACCAAACGAGACTCCAGATTGTTACGTAAAGGACAAATTCACATTCAAATGGTTAATTTTTTTACTACATGGAAATTTTAATATTTAAATAAACTCAATAAATCTATATGATACCCCATGAGGATGCACCATATTATATTAAAGGACAATTACTTGTTTTGTGTTATATCATTACAGGATCCTATTTTTACTCAAAATTGTATTTTTATTTGAAGTCAGAGTAATACTACTAAACTTTACTCAATGCCATATTTTTATATAGTGTGTATAATTTTTTTTCAGGACAAGCAGAGTTGATATGAAAGTTGAACCGAAGCATTCAGTTCGCCCAACAAGTTTGCCATACAAATCTTCGAATAATGAATTGAAGGATATTTCAAAGCCATCAATATCAAGGCGGACTGCTTCGAGTTCTCAGCTTAGGTCAAATAAAACCAAAACTAATAAGAAAAATAGGTAAGTGAATGATAGATGGAAGAAATGATAGATCTGTGTATATTGTTATTTATATTTGATTAGCTACGAGAACTATGTGTTCTATAAGATGTTGTGATGTGATGTTTATTCCTTGACCTAGTGTTTCTAGAAAGCAACCACTTGGTTTACGATTACCTTATGAGATTTTATGAAATATATTTGTGTAAGAGAAGTGAATGTATATTACAGAAATACCCCGATGCCACAAAAACTATGTGTTTTATAAGCTAGTGCGATGTTCATTCCTTAACCAAGTATTTCTTAAAGGCACCCCCTTGGTTGACCATTCTCTTATGGTATTATATGAAATATATTTGTAATAGCAAAGTGAATATGTATTACAAAAATAGCTCAATGCCACAAGAACTACGTGCTCTATAAGCTATTGTGATGTTCATTCCTTAACCAAGTATTTCTTGAAGGCCACCCAGTGGTTGACCATCATTTTATGGTATTATATGAAATATATTTTTAATAGCGAAGTGAATACATATTACAGAAATACCCTGATGCCACAAAAACTATGTGTTCTATAAGCTATTGTGATGTTCATTCCTTAACCAAGTATTTCTAGAAGGCAACCCAGTGGTTGACCATTATTTTATGGTATTATATAAAATATGTATGTAATAGTAATATGAATGTATTCATATTACAGAAATGCCCCGAGAGACTATTTTAATTTCAATTTTACTCGATATCATATATGCATTTTAACTATAACGCTTCAAAAAATATGCTTTATATGGAAACCATGCTATAAGAAAGTTCATACAAATCACAGCATTTGTACCGCGTTATATGGTGACCAATAAATACAAAAGATACGATAAGTTATAAATTATCTTAATTGAATTGAAGAGTTTATATATGTACTCAAAATCTCACTAACCCGATACTATTAAAAACCAGAGGGTGTCGGTTTACTGGAATGTTTGGATTACTGGATTATTGTGTAGAAGTTATAGTTTTTAATATATGATATTGGAAATATTGGAAAAGTTGCCAAAAAAAGTCTTGCACTTAGGGCTTGAGAGTGTTGGATTAGTAGAGGTCTTGGTCTATCGAAATGTTCGATTAGTGAGATTTTTCTGTATATAAAAAATAAAGAATGAAATTATTTTTCATTGAATTGAAGAGTTTATTATGATTATAAGGATAATAAGCATTTGATAAAAGAAATGAAACAAAAGCTAAACTAAAAAAATGTTATCGAACAAAACAATTTGCAAACAGAGAACTTTTTTTTTTAGAAAATCCCGTGCTCCGATACTACTAAAACCAATGTCTTATATGGCTATGATATAAACTGGCATGTTTATATAAATATATTGTAAAAACACATAATAGTCGATAATAAAATTTATATTAAAACCTTTTACAATACCTAGTTACTAAAGTCATCCATAGTTCAAAAGGAAACTTATGGCCTGTTGAACAAAAACCGTGTTATAGGAGTACCGTGTTATAAGAGGGTTGACTATAGGTCAGTCTTTATTTAGTATGGTTCGAAAGGAACTTATGGCCTGTTGAACAAAAACCGTTTTATAGGAGTACCGTGTTATAAGAGGGTTGACTATAGGTCAGTCTTTATTTAGTATGGTTCGAAAGGAACTTATGGCCTGTTGAACAAAACCCGTGTTATAGGAGTACCGTGTTACAAGAGGGTTGACAGTTTTTATTTAGTCTATTCTTTCAAAAAGAATTTTAATATATTTTATCTCGTTTTTTTTGTTATACGAAGGCGATGCAAAAATTTTACCGAAAGCAGTCGATCAGCTACGACGACGTCGAAAATTTTCTAACGAGTGTTAAGGATTAATTAATAAGTAATTTCCAATTATCCAGCACATTTGGTCAATTAATTACTAATAGTATAATTAATAAGTCTTGATTAATATTAGCAAATTCCATGATGATCAAATATATGCGACCACGTGCAAATTTTGACATGACGAAAATGTCTAAAACCTACTACTTACCGATGGCGTCCCTCGTGCTCAAGATGGTGATGGATGGCTTCAGCAAAACACGTGCAAACACAACCGGCACAAAACAACCAATAGTTTCTAAGCACTATTTAATAAATACGTATATAAAAATTAAAATCACACATTACTGAAATAAATTCCGATACACAAAACACAGGCCTTAGTTGTACAATTCGATATTGCACAATTTTTCGGAAACACGAGGCCTCAAATTCTTGTACGTCTTACCGGCGGCGCGACCGGACAGATACTGAAGACGAAATACGATTATCAAAACATTCGGGATGAGTCATCGGGTGTTAACGTTTTTATTCGTAAAACAAGAACTTTTATAAGAACAAATATTACATTTCAGTATAAATTTTGCAATTATAGACAAATTGGTTTGAATATACATTTTTTGGAACTTAAATTTTCATATAGTCTGTCGATCTTTGGAACAACGAATAACAAGAACTTCTATAAGAATAAATATTACAATTATAGACAAATTGGTTCAAATATACATTTTTTATTCTATTTATTTATAACAATTATGGCCTATGGACTTTAAATTTTAATATAGTCTGCCGATCTTTGGACCAACTAATATAGATTTTTGGAGTAATACTGTATCCTAAATAAATTATATCCCGATAACTTATATAATATTTTGTACTCTGATTGTTATTGAGTACATATAATGAAAAATAAAATTGGTATTCTATGAATTGCAGAAAGAACAAAACTTATTTATAATAAAAACTAGTGGTGTATGGCATCGTGCCTTAAGACAAATTGCTGAAACTTTCCGTACAGTAACGAAATATTCTAAGATTATTAAATGTTTTCAAATAGATTATTATAAATACTGTATCCTTTATTATTCTTATGAGAATTTTTATAAGAATTAAGAGCTTTTGAATTGAATGACGACGTTCATATATGATTACAGAAAAGTAAATAAACGACATTGTCTAATATTTATAGGAATTATATAAACTGAATTGCAATATTAAAATTATTTATTTGGCGTATATGATAAGTGAGCTTTAGAACGTTAGCTAGAATTTTTTTTTCATATTTTTAACAGCAATCAGAACCTTACGTCCCATGAGCTGTTGGCTGAAACTTCTCCTTACTTCGTCTTTTTAGATGGTAACCCAATGGTTAATCCATCCATATTTGATGATTTTTATTATTAGAATTAATCCAATAGGGCTGACTTTTTATTGGTGCAGCAATTCCGGACAAGGGCTATTTTCACTTGGAAACATATTGCTATCTATATTTCCAAGTGAAAATCGTTGTCACTGCTGCCTGACAACAGTATCGAACCCGGGACCTCTGAAACAAGTCCCGTCGCTCTTAACCGCTTACCTACAGGCGAGCCACTTTAGCTAGAATTAAAATTAAAATCCGAATCATTTTCGATATTCAAAATAATTTTTTTAGAAAATTAAAAAAAAAAAAAAATCTTTCCCCAAAAGCAATCGTTTCGTCAACACAAGCAGAAAGTTTTTGAATCATTTAAATCGGATACTTAGTACTCTCAAAAACTGCCATTTTTGCACATTTAGCTCCGTATCTTCGAAACGGCTCGACCTGCCTTTGCCAAAATCTCATCACCACTTTTCCCCATCATTAAGAATCGAATGTTTTTTGGATCATCCAAATGGGATACTTCGTTCACTCAAAAACTCGATTTCTATTTTCTGCACTCTTTGCTTCGTATTTCCGTATCGGCCGGACCTGTCTTTGCCAAAAACTAATCAGCACGTCTCCCAGTCAATAGAAATCTAATGTTTTTTTACATCTTTTAAATTAGTTGATCTGCGCTCTCAAAATCGTGGTCGAAAAATTGTATCCGCACATACATACGAACACATATATACATCCATTTTTTCTGCGGTATGCCAAAATGTTCAGAAACCTTTGAAAACGTGAATATATGCAAAAAAAAAATATTTTTTTGCGATTACTATAAGTTACCCTATGGGAAGGAAAAAAAATACATATTTGTAATGTGATTAGTTTTGGCTATTAGGTGATCCATTTTAATTTTTTATCTAACAACAAGTGGATTTACGGATATTTAAGATTATTTATTGGCGGAATTTCTGGCCATTAAAATGTACAAATATATATTCAATAGAACAATGTTAAGACGATTTTTTAGGAACTGTACCAAAAATATATAGGGATAGGGATAATATATTTAAAGGTGAAGCGACCGAGGCAAAGTGGGATATTATAATCGTCTTACCGAATTGTTTATTGCTTTATCATGTAAATAGGTTTTGCAATGGCTAATTTCTAAATCAACAACAACATACACAAACTTACGTAATTAACTTTGTCCAATAGTCGTGTAATCCAAAATAATTCTAAAAAATATTTATTTATTATTTGTTATATGAGCCCATCGTGGGATAGTGGTAAAGAACGTATGCTAGCATTCCTTAAAAACCTGTAAACAATACCTAGTCCCGGGTTCAATCTCAACCTCGGCCAGCTCGCTATTAAGCAGTGTGATACCAGATTTTTACTTGAGATCATGCATCTCAAACATGATCTCAAGAGAAAAAAGCCAACTTAGCCATTAGGTCATATATACCTAATAAAATCACGCCACAAAGGAGATGGTTAACCGCTGGGTTGCCACCGTCTTGTGCAATATTAGGTTAAGCCTTCAAAAACAATTAGCTTAAAGAACAAGTAGTTCTGATTGCTGTTGAATACTTTTTTCCAATTTTGGTCTCACGTGATTCAGAATGACTTAAAACATACAATTATCAAATCGGATTTTCTGACGATATCATAAATTTCTCCTTCGGGAAGTTAACAATTAGGATAGTTATTTGGCCAACTAATGAAATATTTAGTGAATTTATCATTTACTTCCAGGACTTGCAAGACAACGTGCCACCGAATGACTTCTGATGCTGGTCATCTGTCGTTCAACGAAGGCGAAACCCTACAACTGATCCTGGAAGTTGACGCTAAATGGTTGCTTTGCTGCCGGGTAGAGCAGAAAGGTCTCGTACCCAGGGCATCTGTCATCATTTTATCAGATACTAGTCATAGATAGTGTGTAAATTAAATTAATATAAATCTTCCCTCAAATATATATATTGTTTCATAATCACTATTGACATATTTATTGACTAAGTAAACGGTAATGTTCCTTTTCAAAAATTTTATCGTTTCTTTAATCGTCTTCATACGGAATTACTGATTATTAATTCCTCATGTATTGTAATGTTTTTATCATTAGCGTAAAACATATGTAATATAATATATATTTATAAATATCATCATATAGTTAAGTATCTAGACCATTTTATATGAATTATGTTATTTAATTAAATTTATTATATAGAGACTAGTGAATATCATTATTATAATAAAATGTGTTAATAAATTATCTGCTATATGAAATTGTATGCCATAATAAAATAAAACTATAATCAAAATTTAATTGTGGATTTTTTAAATTAGTTTTACAAAAATAATTATATATAATAATTTTATTTAAATCATTTTTGTTAACCACAGTTTTATTTAATAAGATGTATCTTATTTATTTTGAAAGCGAAATTATTTTTACTTGACTCCTCCTAAATGATAATTTTTTTTTATTTTTAATCATATTATTTTGGGCGCGAAATTATTTTTACCTATAGGGTAGTTTTTTTAAGCTCATCAGTTACTCAAAAAAATAAATTAAATAAAAAATATAACAATTCATATATATATAATATTATTTACGCTTATATCCTTAAATGTTAAACAATATTTTTAACCACATTTGAATTTCTTATTTTATTAAACGATATTTTTATCAAATGAATTTTTTAACAATATTACATTAAGATCCAGTTAAGACGACTTTCCAGAAACCGGATCAAAAACGCGTCTTTTGCGTCCAAAAAGCGTATTATGCGAGAGGGATATGGGATATTTCTGTGCAGAAACCGACGTATTATGCGTGAAAATGTATTAAACATGTCGTCTTAACGTGGTTCTACCGTGATTATATATTATTTTTACTGAAATCCTTTTGAATGAATGATATTTTTTTTATCCACATTATTTTGAACCCAAAATTAGTTTTACTTAAATCTTTTTTTTACTAAACCATATATTTTTTATTTTTTTACCACATTATATTGGACGCAGAATTATTTTTACTTAAGTCATGAAGTTATTTTTTCTTTCCAATTATATTATTTGAATCCAAAATTATTTATACTTAAATATTTTTTTTTACTAAATCATATATTTTTTATTTTTTTACCACATTGTATGGGACGCGAAAATATTTTTACTTATGAATTTTTTTCATATTATTTAGGACGCGGTTTGTTAGGTTTTCCTTTATGCCCTTTGTACAAAGTTTTACATAATTTGTATTTACTTTTGCATTTTTTACTTGGACATTGCGAACAGGGTGTTCCTTCTTTATACATTTCTTCATATAACCAGTTGCCTACTGGCGCGTAGTTGCAAGCTAGTAGTCGTGTTCGTAATTCCATAGGACCTTGTGTAGTATCATAAGTTTTATTATATTCAGCCATTGCACATCCGACCCTGTTAGTAGGGCCCCAAGCTAAGGCTCCGAAATGGTTTATTTCTTTGTTACCTCTGTGAAAAATTGATAATGATAATGGAATTATATTGTAAACAGGGTATCTGAGAACTCAACGTTAAGGTGGAACGTGGTAAAAGGATAAATTGTAACCATCTGGAGCAAGGCTTCCTAAACTATGAGTTGCGACCCCAAATGGAGTAGCGTGAAAAATTCTGGGATTGCGAGAAATTTTAATATCAACTATTTACATCATTTTATAACATCACGTCTTGATTTTTATACGTTTTTAATGAATTCTCAAACTATATATTTTCATATGTATATATACATATGAAAATATATAGTTTGAGATATAAATATACGAGATATATATGAGATATAAATATTTGAGATATAAATATGCATATGTATATTTCTATTGTTACCAAACAAATAAATCATTTAAAAATATTAATTTTTTTTTTAAATGTGTGGGGTCGCCAAGAAACTCGCAATTGTAAATGGGGTCGCGAAGGACAAAAGTTTAAGAAGCCCTAATCTAGAGCAAAATCAGAAAGAGTTCTATCCCATGCCGTATGAAAATTGTAGGCATTTAAGGAAAATCTGAAAGGCTAAAAAAAAACCAACTAAACGAAAAATACCCACGTATCCTGATTTTCACTACGAAAAATACCCACGTATCCTGATTTTCACTACCCTTACGTCACTATCTCCCTCTCTCGGCAAACAGGTCCATTATCCATCTCTCTCATCATTTTGACCAAATTTCTAGGTTTTTCTTATGTGCACATAATCTTCAACTTGCATAAATATATTTCTTTCTGGTATTTCTAAGGATGGTTACAATAAACTCTATCCCCCCCCCCTTTCGGCTTGACGTTGAGTTCTGGGACAACCTGTATATATATTTTACACGTTGTTTATAATTTATACTAACACTCCTGCGCCGGTGTAGTTGTATGCATTTTTGGGATGTGCATCCTTTATTTCTTTATACCATCCTCTGATAACTTTTCCTATATTGTGTTCAACTGATTTAGGATGGCTTGATGCAATAAATCCAAGATTTTGACCACTTTTCACATCTAATTAAGGAATTCCCAAAAAAAAGTTAAGACACAGATAAAAAATTAAATTAATAAATATATTAATAAAATAAATATTTTATTATTCTGTACATACCTACAGCTCGACATTCGTCATGTTCCATTTCGCACTGCTTTACATTCATCGCCGCTAAATATGCAAGTTCTTCATCCCAATCCTGTAAAATAACATTAACTAGGTATAAGTGGCATTTTGTCTTAAAGCAAGTTGCATAAACTTTCCGATATATGTGAAAAAAATCAACTTATTAGGGGGCGTCCATTAATTACGTGCTCGATTTTTTAAGAATTTTTTTTTAAGACCCATGGATTAACTTTTGTACTTATCTAATAATTATAAAGAAATGGCAAGGCTATTTATCTTGCAAGACTATAGTTTTGTAAACTATATATAGCCGTTACGTTTTTGAAGCAGAAACAGAGACGTCTGTGTACCTTCTAGGTTACGTAACCGCTATGTTTGACGTAACATTTGTTATGTAATATTAACGTTTTGTAGTTGACTGAGTAATTTAGTGCCAGTACTTTTAAAGCTTTTAAATTAAGGTAATCGGTGCAACCATTTCGAGAAATCTTTAGCAAAAATCATATTTGACTCACATACCCCCACACAAATTTTGGTACCAAAAAACTCAGAATGACTTGAACCATAAAATATGCAAACCATGGCGCTATGTATGTCCTTCAACAAACATAAAACCAATTCTAATCATAAATTATTTACCATATAATGCATATTAGCAGCTCTAGGAAAAGTTCCATACGTTGATCGTCCTTTGCCCGTAGCCACTTTCTCTCGGTACCAGTTATGGTGATGCAAAATCATTCGTTTTTGAGCAAGTTTCAATTTTATATCTTTAGGATCTTTACAATTAGATGCCCATCCTTTTGCAAGAGGTCCACAAGCAACATGCGTTTTACCTTCATCACACAACTTCAATTGTGGATCTCCAGTACAGTAGTTTCGATATTTGCAAAATGTTAAGTTGATAAAGGTCAAGACCAAGAATAATAAAGTCACTTGACGAAAACCTAGTAATAATAAATAAAATAATACAATATCCATTTTGTTTAACTCTTTTGCTACGAGTGTCGCCTATAGACGACATCCAGTGCGTCGAATTTTGCTTCAATTTATCACTCCGAGTTAAATTATGGAGAATTCTAATTTGTTATTATGGTTTTTATTATTTAGAAATGTAATCATTAATTTTTAAATACATTTTAATTAATAATCATTAGAAAATCTTGAAATATTTTGTGCAACAAATAATTGAACGGATTGCTGACTCGTACAGCAGTGGAAACCAGTCTCGTAGCAAAAAAAAAATATATATTAGATTTACTAGATGATACAAATTCTATATTCTAATGAACACGTTCTAAAGATATTTTGTAGTACGTATTCAGTTTTATAATAAAACAAGTTAGTTCAAATATTCAGTTAGATTATAAAAATATGTTTTCTTTTTATATATATAATATTTACCCATAACGACGTTGGTTCTTCGAAGATTCAAAAACAACTAAACAGTTTTTTGAAAATCGCACGCAAAATAAATAATTATTCAAACCTATATAACAAATAAATATATTATAATAAATAGATATTTTGAAAATAATTCAAAATTGCGTAGCTCTCAAATTGTCTAATTTGAAACACATTTCTTTCGCAATTTTTACGCAAACTGTTTATCACAACAATACCAAAACATAATATTTTACTAGTCATAAATATTTGTTATTTAACTATATTATAAAAAAAAAAATACTATGATATATATTTGCTGGCTTTCTGTCTTCAGTTGTAAACGGTTTAGTTTTAATCATAAAAACGAATAAGAATTAGAAAAAAAATATTATTTAGCTACGTTGATCAGCTATAAAAAGACAAATAAAAATTAGTAAAAATTACTATCATTTAACTATGATACGTTACTTTTACCTTACGACAAGGTTCATGTCCCCCTGTTAGACTGAATGGTGATTTGGTTCCTGTATCCAATGTTGTTAAATATCTGGGAATACATTTAGATAGAAGATTAACCTGGCATGAACATATTCTAAAGAAGCGTCAGCAGCTTGAATTAACACGTAGGCAACTTAATTGGTTAATGGGCTGGAAATCACAAGTCACAATAGAAAATAAACTCCTAATATACAAGACAATTATTAAACCAATATAATCCTATGGCCTACAACTATGCTCCAAAATACGTTCCCAATTGGTTGATACATCAAGATCTCAGAATTTCAACTATAGAAGAAGAAATTAGTCTTTACTACACCAGATACGAAGCTCGTCATCCAAATGTATTGATCTGCTCAAGCCTTTACCACCAAAGCGTCTCAAAACAAGAATCTGCAATGATTTACTACAAAATATAACATAACATCTAAGAAGGCGCTATCGCAGGATAGCGATCCTTCTCACGCAGTCTAATAATATATAACTGTAACAAATGTAGCTGAATGTTCTTTGTATAGCTTGCTATGAAAAATAAATAAAAAAAAAAAATCATTTAACTATGTTGATCCGTTATAAAAAGACTCAGTTATATATAAAACAAAATTGTTGGCTTTTAATTCCTGTTATAAACATTTTAGTTTCAATTATAAGATATAAAAATGAGTATAAACATTGCAATTGGTATAAAACATATTTATTATATTGACTAGAATTCAAATATCTCAATAATTTGTTATCATTTTCCCTTTTTTAATTGAAAAAATCTTCTTTAGCTCATCAGCATTTTTAATCCTTTCAATCTTCACAGCCAACACAAAGTGATTCCTTAATTTATGGTGTATAAAATATTATTACTCCATCTGCTCATAATTAACAAGTTACCCTTTGTTTCATCGAGTGTTAATTCTCACTCATCTTGTGGTAATACAATTAAAAGTATTACCAAATACGTCTATCGCTAATAAATACATTGATTTATTACGAAATTCAGCAGGCCTCACCCATTTGTATGTTTCAGAATCAGCCAAGAAACTATATGCAACAAGTTCGCTCTCTAATTGTCTAAGTTGTACTACACCTAAACAATTAGCAGTAAAGAGCTCATTTGAACTGAAGTCATAACTAAAGGCTTCTTTGGTTTCAGCATGATTGTTAAACCATTTATGGAGAAATAGAATGTAGGCACAACCTTTGTCTATCTTTGCAAATTGAGTAACTTGAGGCTTTACTGGCTTTTTAAAAACTGTGAAGGACTTCCTATTACAGCTCATGCTTTTATTATCATCATTACTTGTATTTAAATCACTGTAAGGAGCTTGTGGATTCAAGTCGTATCGTCCAAAACTGAACACTTTATCTATGTTAAAATATTCACGACCCATTAAACCATATTGAGTATGCCCCAAATCAAATATATGAGCAAGTTCATGAAGAGCAGCCCCAAAACTGAACGAGTAACAACCTCCAATGGTTTTTATCACAGGATCAACTTCTTTGTTTTGGGTAATAAAGGACTCTAGCACGTTGTCCTGAAAACTAAGGATTATAGAATTAGAATAGGTTTGTAGAATGAAAATAGAAGTTGACATACCGATTTTGTACTTCACTTATTTCCACAGGCCAGGTGTAAAAGAAAGGATTTCCAAATAAAGCTAGATTCCCTTTACCCACACTTGCATAGCAATTGGTCAGTTTTTTAATATCATCATAGCACAAACTTGTCGCATCACTACTTTTGTACTCAGTGTTTGTGATTACAGCTAAAAACTTGCGTTTCGGCGAGGACAGTTTCGACATCATGAGTTCTTTTGCAAAATATTGCCATAATTCTATTTCGTTCATTTCATTTGCAAGATTTACATCTAACTTGCTTTTGTGGACATAAATTTTAGGTAAATCGTCTTCGTATTCGATGTTAAAAGTTTTGTGTGCATTTGTGTACTCATAAACTTTTTCAGCAAAGAAATATTGCATCAATTGTACAGCAAGCATCAATCTGCTGCGACTGCTTTCTAAAGATTTTGAATATTCATCTGGAGCAGAAATAGTGCCATCGTGGTTGTCACATATAATTAAAACCGGTGCCACAGTATGAACAGTACTGATCACTTTATAGTCTACATTGCAGTTAATGGTGTTGCTGCAATATTTAAGTTCAAAATGGTTTATTGATAATTTCAGTTGTACTAGACATTTGAAGACAGAATTGTGGACATTGCACATAAACGTTTGTATGATTTCTCCATTGTGATAATGGTTAATAATAATGCTATTATTGCATGTGCTAGTATTTCTTACAGTACCTCTTAGTAATATAACAGAATTACTAACGACATCATGATTATGCATATTACTTATTTTTATGGAATGTTCCCTGCTGCAAACAGATATTTCTTCACTCATTATACCAGGTTTTTGTAGATTCCTAAATCTGGCAACAATGCGTATCAAAATATAAATTATTATGATTTGGTTTATAAAATCATATACCTATTAATTATATATAAAATAGTGCTGGGTCTGGAATACAAATAATATTTTAATATAATAATTGTAATAGAGTCTTTTCATAAAAAACTGAATACATACATTTGTCCAAATATGGAGGCTGAGCACTAAGTAAATAAACATTGTTTATTATTATTTTATTATTTCAACAATATTATTATTGTTTATTATTTCAACAAGTGAATGACAGTTTGTCGTATATTGCTTACTTCACACACATGTTAGTTGGCGCAAAATTCAAAAAACAAATCGCTATTTAAATATTTTGATTGATTTTTGTCAAAAGTTATTATTTTTAAAATCTTTTTGTATAATAATTGTGATACTAAAATATATTTAATTTAAAATAAAAACCTAAAAGTTACTAAATCAAACAAAAACTTACAATAATTACATCAAGTGGATGACAGTTTGTCGTATATTGCTTACTTCACACACATGTTAGTTGGCGCAAAATTCAAAACACAAATCGCTATTTCAATATTTTGATTGATTGTAGTCAAAAATTATTATTTTTAAAATCATTTCGTATAATATTTTAAATACTACATTATATTTCATTCGAGAAAGAAGCTTAAAAAATAAAAAAATGGCAGGAATCATAAAAAATAAAAAATATTAGGTCCATGTTAAGTTTATTCTTAACATAGACGTACGATGTTACTTACTTCATATGAATATAAGGTGGCACCAAATTCAAAAAAACAAATGATTGTTCAAGTATTTTGTTTGATTTTTGCAAAAATTGTTTTTAAAATCACTTTACATAATTTTTGTCACACTAAATTGTATTTTAAAATGAAATCTAAATAGAAGAACTAAATAGAAAACTAAAAGTAAATAATAAAATAAAATAATAATAAATAAAGGCAAATTGCTGCTACTTCCCGTACAGTAATGAAATATTCCAAGAATATTAAATGTTTTCAAATATTCTAAATACTGTATTATAGATACTTATAAATCTTGTAACTTTTATATAAGTTTACATGAAAAGTTATTGAACAGAACCTAATAAAGGGGAGCTAGAATGAAGGAACTTATCTCATATTTCTAAGAATTATACCAACTGAATTGCAAAATTAAAATATTTTATTTAAAGTATATATTAAGTGAGCTTTAGAATTTTGGTTAGAATATTGTTTAGAAATAAAAAAAATGAATTTTTTTTGCTTTACCAAAAAAACATCGTTTGTCAACACAAGCAAAAAGTTTTTAGTATCATTCAAATCTAATGCTTCGTTCTCTCAAAAACTGCCATTTTTAGCACATTTTGCTCCGTATCTCCGAAACGACAGGACCTGTCTTTGCCAAAAGCTAATCACCATTTCTCCCCATCATTACAAATTGAATGTTATTTGAATCATTCAAATCGGATGCTCCGTGCTCTCAAAAGCTCGAATTCTATTTTCTGCACTTTTTGCTACGTATCTTCAAAACGGCTGAACCAAATTTTGCAAGTCTCCTTATCAATAGAAATCGAATGCTTTCTGAATAATTCAAATCGGTTGAGCGGTGCTCCCGAAAACGTCGACGAAAAATTGTATACATACATACATACTACGTACATCCATAAAATGTAAAAATATGCAAAAATTACAATTTCGATTTTTGGACGATTACAATAACTTACCCTACGAGAAGTTAACCCTTTCCACTCGGATGCCAAAATTCATATAAATCTCGAAATTCGCGAGTGGCAAAGGTTAAAATATTAAATAAGTTCCTTATTACCATGGACGTATGATGTAACTTACTTCATATGCATGTCCCATAGCACCAAATTCAAAAAACAAATGACTGTTTAAATATTTTGATTGATTTTTATCAAAAGTTATTATTTTTAAAATCACTTCGTATAATTTTTATAATACTAAATTATTCATTAATAAATTAATATTTAGTTTAAAATGGAAGACTGGAACATACCGGAACAAAAAATAAAGTTAGAATACCATGTTAAATACAATCCCTTGGATTTTGCACCTGTGCAGGCGGAAGCTGAATATCAAGAAACACTTTTTTTGAAGAAGGCTGCGACGTAAGTTGATAAATATCACAATAATAATAATAATAGATACTAGGTATAAATTTTCTTTGGTTTTTGCTTAGTATTTGATAGAAATATTTATATTTTACAGAGGTAAGCCACCATGGGATTTATCACGAGCTGGTCCTGCATGTGCAATGTTGGAGATACAACGAGAAAAAGAATCAGCTCAGATGTATTTAGATGAAACAAGGTTGGTTAATAATATATTTTATTATATTATTATTTGATTGCTCATATTATAATATTTCTACAGACGCAGGGAAGCAATAATGACACGAAAGTTTAAATCGCAATATGAAGAATTCTGATAGCTGAACAAGAACTCAGAAAACACTTTCTGCGGTTCAACAAATTTGTAAAAGAAAACAAGGACAAGATTGAAAGAGCTCAAAGAAAGGTTGTAAATATAAAATTTGGATTACAAAGCTTTTTTGTTATATGTGCAATTGTTTATTTCAGTATGAAACCGAAACAATAGTACACGATGCTCTCCTTTCTGATGTTGCAGAGCTGAACAATCAGGTGGAATTTTATAATCATGTCAAGAGTGTTTTGTTAAGACATATTGAAAAATACAGGGCCTATGAGGTAGGTATAAGAAAAATGTATTGTAATATTAAAAATTCACTTATTTGTTATTATTATTTTAGAAATACCTAGAAGATGTTGTAGAGATATCGCCCAATCTCCACAGCATTGCTGATACTCATAAGCGTTATCAGGCATTGGGTAAGTAGACCAAAAATAGTAATTATAACTTTATAAAAATTTAAAATTAAGTATTAATTATCATGATTCTATTATAGTTTCAGCAAGAGAAGAGATTGCTATATCCCAGCAAAGAAACATGCGAGAATTGGAAAAAACTCGAAATGAAGTTGGCCTACTGGCAGCCGAGAAGAACTCCAAAATAATCAGCCTAAATACAGCATTAGCACAAATGGATGTAATTATGATTATTACAATAATTAAAGATTGTTTAAAATGTAGCTAATAATTATTTTTTATGTTTCTAGAAACGCTATCAAGATGTGAAGTACGAATCTCAAATTTGGGAGTCAAGAATAGTCAGAATAAAAGATTTGGTTTACTCAAAAGAATCTGAAATATTTATTGTCAAAGATTTATTTTGGGACATGTATGTGGAACTAATGAAACGAAGAAGTAAGTAAAATGATATTTATAGATCAAGAATGGTAAGAATAAAAATAAGAAAAATTGTAGCTCTTAGGGTAAGGTTGCTCAAGAAAAAAGTTATATATTCCTATTCAGTGCAACTAAATTAAAATCACTATTAACTTCCCAAAAATTTTTGCATATATTCACGGTTTGAAGGTTTCTGAACATTTTGGCATACTTTAGAAAAAATGGATGTGTGTGTATGTATGTATGTATGGATACAATTTTTCGTCTACGTTCTCGGGCGCACAGATCAACCGATTTGAATGGTTCAGAAAACAACCGATTCCTATTGATAAGGAGACGTGCTGATTAGTTTTTCGCAAAAGTCGGTCCAGTCGTTTTGGAGTTACAGAGCATAGGGTGTAGAAAATAGAAATCAAGTTTTTGAAGGAACAGAGTATACAATTTGAATGATCCAAAAAACATTCAATTTGTAATAATGGAGGAAAGTGGTGATTAGTTTTTGGCAAAGGCAGGTCCAGACGTTTCGGATATGGAACAAAATGTGCTAAAAATATACACCACTAGTTTAATTGTCCATTATCTCACCTGACATTTACTTCCAGACAGAAGTGGTGCAGTTCGCCAACCTATGGCAGATCGCGAAGACACAGAATCCCATCTCAAATTTATACAAATGGCCATCAACGAAATTCGTATGATTGTGGAATTGGCCAAGGTAAGTGAGAGAGAAGAGCGTTTGCTGCTGGAAAAGGCTGAAGCTGAAAAAAGTCGATTAGAAGCCCTGGCTTTATTACAAGATAATGAGCAAGGCAGTGATGAAAAGGCTCGAGATGGCGTGGTATCATCCCAAGCAACATGACTTTATTTCTGGTCTAGATATGGAAGTAGATTGATAATTTTTGTTTTATTAGCGTACTAAAATATGTAATTTGGTAATTTTTGGTTATGTTTTATGTTTAATAAATTTTTAATCTTACCTACTCCAATTTGTTCTTGCAATTTTTAGTTTAGTTGATGTGTGTGTGTGCGGATACATTTTTTTGTCGACGATTTCGGGAACATGGGTCAACCGATTTGAATAATTAAACTAAAAAATAATTAAAATTAGAAGAATAATTAAAAACATTCGATTCGTATTGATAAGGATACGTGCTGATAAGTTTTTGACAAGGGCAGGTCGAGCCGTTTCGAAGATACGGGGCAGAAGTGCCAAAAATGGTAATAGATTTTTTTGAGAGAATGGAGCGTCCGATTTGTATAATTTAAAAAACATTTTATTTGTATTGACAAATTGATGAAATTTTTGGTAAGGCAGGTCTAGCTGTTTCGGAGATCCAATAAAAAAAAAAAAAAATGCCAATTGGCGAACAAAAATGATCATTAGACATATACACAACCAATTATCACATGCTTTATAGATCTTTTAATAATGAGAACAAATTTTGTTCACTTTTATATGGATTCCGTACTAATGTTTAACCGTTATACTGCGTCGCGGCGCTCACGCGCTTTGATATTTCGTTTCTACGCAGCTGACGTATAGCGATTGCTTTGAAAAAAGTTCAAAATTTCCAAAATATTTGACAGTATAGAAAAAATCAAATTTTTCAAAAAGGTCAATTCCAATATCATTAAAAATCGAACACGTGATTAATGGACGTCCCCTGAGTTCTATAACATCAAGTAGAAATTTGATATCGTACTGCTTGATATCGAGATGGCCGAGGTTGAGATCGAACCTAGACTGAAAAGTAGACTAAACAAAAACAAACGGTTTTCAGTTCAGTCTGCAATATATTTAACACAATAGACTACAGCTATTTCAATAAATTGTATTAAAATGCATAATATTCGAATGTATAGAATATTCATTTGAAAATTATATTAAAATCTATATATGTATATAAATATCTTTGTTATTATAAAATGCACTAAATTTCAAACTCATTGTATTAAAATAATTTCAAATTAGTCTGCTAATAGAAAACAAAGTTAAATTATAAATCAGTAGCATATTTAGTATATACTATACAATTACACCATGGAACAGTACATAAAATAAACAATATGTGAATATATTATTTATAGTATATTGACAGTAAAGTTAGATATGATCATGCATTGTTATCACATTTAATCCAAAAATCAGTATTTGTCTCTATTAATTAATCTACAGTTTTAGATTTTTCTACACAGACACAGGCATATACAGAAATGCCTTTCCATTTGGATATGATACATTTTGATAATGAACGTTATTATTGGTCAAATTTTTTTCAAAAAGTACTTATTATTGATTCCTTAACATCTCTTGCAAATTCTAAAATCAATACGAAATTTATAAAACACTAATTATATTATCCACCTGTAAAATTCCACAAATATTCGTATATGAGATTTTGTTTATTATAAAACTCTTGTGATTCAGCAGTCGAGTTCCTACAACATTAATTTGGGAATGCACGATTTTAATCCAGGATTTATAAAAATGATTGGAAATTTTTGACAGACGTAATTTAGGGTAGAGAGAGGCGTGAGTAAAAAGGTCCAATTATCTCAAAAAACAAATTAAGTTTGGAATTATTTAACGATACTATTTTAAAGTAGAGGGCAAAAGATGTGTAATCAGACACTGCCTTAAATCGGCCGATAAAAGACCGCATTGTCAATTATCTAACAAAAGTATTTCTTTTCGCTGTCAGCTGTTTGGTTTTGAGCACTGTTGTTTAGTTTACAATACTTGAATACAGTTTATATATATACATTATTTAATTGTTGTATAAGGTGTATTGTTATTTTTAAGTTAGACTAAAACCCTGTAAAAGCTTATATTTGGTTGAGGTAAAAAGGACCAAGTGCATCCTGGACCAAGTGAACCAAAGACCAAGTAAACAATGACAAATGTATAAAAAATAATAATACGAAATTTGTATTCAGTATGATCTTGGCAAAAAAATGGGCTGCAACTAATTTTAGAAAAGTACATACTTAGCAAATCAATTTTTTTCCTAGAAATTTTACTGAACATAGTTCGATGTAAGTTGTTTGTTAGATATGTGTTATTTGTTGTGATTGTAGTTACTAAAAGTCAAATTGGACCTCTGTGCCACACCATACCCTAAATGAGATCTACCAACATTGCATTATTTAATATTAAAACGGTATAAAAAATTATATACATATGTTTCTCTAACATTTGTTTATAAATGACTCTGATGCAATTAAGATGAAAACTAATTGAACCGATTCTGCCGCATAACAGACCAAGGTTATGGCAAGACTATTTTATATTCCATACAAATTCATTCTAAATATTGACAGAAGCCATATGGTAGCTGTGCAGTCTCAGGTTGTCAGATAGAAAACCTAACCTAGAAAACGCACAAATGTCAAAAAAAAAAAACGATTAGATAACAGGGTCTTTCTGACCCAGCTTCATAACATACGAGTGACGTTGCAGTTTATGTGAAAAACGACTGAATGCACAACAAATACATGACATCTTGACAGTATTCAGTATGATTTAATAGCATAATGCACGAACATGGCCTTGCCATAACATTAGCCTATTGTGCGGCCGAATCGTCCCATAAATTACTTTTATTTTAAAACTCGAACAACATAAACTCCTCGTTCCGTTTCTAACTTCTTAAATAATACCATTATGTGAAATATAGATTTTATAAAAAATAACAATAAATCCTTACAAACAAGTTATGTAAAAACGCGTAATTACAAAGCTTTTCCTCAATACTATTTGAACCAAGTCATTTGGTATTGAATTAACAAAATTTTTGTCAACTTTGGCATATCGTAGCTTAATAAGATCATCTAATACGGCACACTCGCAAATCAAATTCTTGAGAATACCCTCTGAATATTATATATATAGGCAGCTAGGTATATTTGTCTGAACATATAAGTAATTATTTCAATTTTTATGACACATCACATCTATAATTCACAGCTGTTAAAGATGATATGATTTTAATGAAAACATTTATTATATTTTATTTCAACTTATATGAACTAGAGGACCTATCAACAAATCATGTAACTGGAATGATAAACTGCAATAATTATTTAACTGCCTTGATGGAATTAACTATATCGTATAAATAGCCAAATATTATATAGAAAATATTAAGTGATTATAATATAAGGACAGTCAACCCCCCTACAGGATGAAATGAAAGCTAAACTAAAAAAATGTTTCCAACAAAAAATTTTAATCAGAATTTTTTTAGAAATATTAGAGTGCTGTAAAAGAGGTCTGACATAATAAAGAACATGTTCATATAAAAATATTGTAAAAAACAGAATAGTCGATATTGAAATCTATATTATAATCCTAGTATCTAGTTACTAGAGTCATCCATAGAAAGCGCGGAATAAACTTATGGGCAGTTGAAGGAAAACCGCGTTATAAAAGGGTTGTCGCAATCTCGATACCGCGTTATAAGAAGGTTGACTGTTATTATAATCGTTCAACAATTTAGTTTGCTGCAATAACAGTATAAAATATGTCAATAAACTATGAACAAAATTTCAAAACAAATATATCTTAGGTATATTAATAACTTATGAATTAAAAAGTTTTTTTAGCACATCAATATTTAAGCACTCATAACATAGCTTCTATAAACAAATATATTAACATATTTTTTATACATAAATATATCTAGAAATATTTCATTGGTATTAATTAAAATAAGTAAGCAAAAGTGTTTGGTACAATTTATATAAGAGTATTATACTACCCAATGTTGTAATTTTAATGAATTTTTTATTAATGAAAACCTATGTTATTTAGCAGTATTTTTATGGACGGCTTAAGAAATGATGAGTATTGAAATTAAAATAAAATGTGTCTTAATAAAATTTTATATATTAGCCCTTTCGCTACGAGCGTCGTCTATAGTCGACATCCGCATGGCAACCTGTGTGTACGAGTGTCGCTTGTAGACGACATCCAATGTATTGACTTCTGCACACAGACAATATATCGGTCTGATTTAAATTATTGATAATGATCGAAAAGTCTTAAAATATTTGGGTAACAAAAACTTGGGCAGCTTGTTGGCTCATACATCAGTGTCACTTTGGCGGAGAATACTCCCGTATGGCTAATGTGATAAAAATGCCGAAATATATTAAAAATTTTAATGCAAAATGTATAAACTATTATAAACGTTATGTTAAAAAACGTAAAATTTTAATAATAATATAATATAATATGGATGTAAGTCAATTCCGAATAAAATGTTATCCCTTAACATTTGTTACGACCATAGATTATGTGGGGCACAGTGATTAATATTATATTTATTAACATGAAAAATTAATACACAGTACTTCAATAATACATTCTCATCGGCGCACTTCAATAACAACAACAAACAACAGAATATAAAAGCAGAAAACACATTACTGAACGCTGAAGGTGTTTTCCCTTTCCTATCTTTTATACAAAAAGTCATTCATTTCTTCGCTATCGGTTAATCTACTTAATTTAAACATATGAGCTATATTTTACCATATCACGCTTCTGTACAACCATCAATTCTAGATCGCCGACTATGGAGAGAAAACTCGCAGGCTGCGCAGAAGTGCAGCAAGGACGTCGGCTAAACACTGCCCGAAGAGCTAATTGCCCACCGCGGTCGGGGTCACCATTTATCGAAGATGAGGACATAGGACCCACTTTTACAGCGGCCAGTTCGCGGAAACCTGAAGCTACATCGTGGACTTTAAGGACAATATTACGCGTTTGAAGTGGAGAGCTGGTGTGGACGCAAAGGGATTGGGTGAGCTCGGTGATGCTCCGTAATGCCGTCAGACTGGCTGCGAGGTGTTCTGTAGACCAGCTAATGATGAGTCGGACATTGATATCACTAACAATTTGCTGGACGTCACCAGACGCAGAGCCTGGGCGGTTAGCTCTTCACGTGCGGTCTGAATACGTACAAAATATTATATTATATCGCATCAAATGTAGACCCCATACCTCACTTTGCATCGTTTTGCGTTTATTCGAAGTTTGCATCGTTCCTTAACTAGTTAAGCGTGGTGCGCTCATTGACTCACCATTCAGTTCTGCAATTCAGAGTCGAAGTAAAATGTTGTTTTGAGGTAAAAAGTTGCTTTA